CATTGTTAACCTATCATCAGGCGCCATAGTCCACATACCCGTGTTTGTCATTCAAGCCTCTACGTTCTTGGAAGAGCATGTCGCTCAAGAGGGTCTGTTCAGAAAGGCTGGCTCTCAGGCGCGACAGAGAGAATTGATATCCCGGTTGAATAACGGTGGTGGTTTAGGTGACAAAAATCATGCGATTGATATTGCTAATTGTCTAAAATCTTTCTTCCGAGATTTACCAGAGCCACTGATCCCATATGCATATCACGATTTGTTCGTCCATTGTGCATTGCTGAAGAGTCATCGAATACAGGCATTATTGTTAGCATGTACGTTGCTACCACCGTATCACTTGAATACCTTAGCATTCTTCATGGAATTCTTAAAAAAGGTTTCCATGTATGAGAAACAGAACAAAATGAGTATTGACAACTTAGCGAAAGTCATTGGACCGAATATCATGCCATTGCAAGAGACATCCATGTCGGCTGTGCAGAATAGATTGCAAATGCATTTAACTATTGTCAAGGTAATGGAAATTTTAGAGAATATATTGATAAATCATATAAGCAAATAGGTAATTGTTACTTAAATTAATATTGTTACAGATTCTAATTGAAAATGCAGAAGATATTGGTGTCCTACCACCTCATATTGCCCAGAATATTTCTACTGAAACAAGCGGCAGCACGGACAATGGATTGGATTCATTTGAGTTACATAGAAAACATAAAAAGAAGAAGCATCGTAGTGGAAGTCTTACACGTAAGTAATATTGAAATACTCTCAGTTTTATTTAAAATATACCTGAAAAAAAAAAATATATATATATATGTGTGTGTATAAATGTTAGTAAGATTTATAATATTAATGAAAAAATTAATTAGATTAGAACACACTCCCCCTGCCCTCTCCTTCTAATATTATTAGATTTATTAAATGTAATTTTGTATTGCACATAACATTCAAATCTTATTTAAAATTTTAGTTTTTCTTATATCTGTGTATGTATATATAACATATATTGAACATGGAGATGTAATGTTCTATACAGGAATGTTCAACGGCTTAAAGAAGATTGTTGGAAAGGGCGCTGATGCACCTAATGATGCATCTAATATTAATGAACCACAGTCTCTCGTACATCTAACGCAGTTAAATGTAGCTCCTAACAAATTTACCAAAAAACGAAAAGTAATTGAGAGAGAATATCCTCCGAGTATAAAGAAAAAGTAATGAAACTATTTATCTTTTGTTATTATGTTATTTTTTTCTTTCTTTTATATATATACAGTTTAATATTTAATTTAAAATAATATTGATACAAAACATAATATATATTGTAAGAGAACGGCCGAAAAATTAGACAAATCAAAAAAATTAAGATTGAGTTTAGACAAATTTGTACCTAAGAATAAACAAGTAAGTATAGCTGTTTTCATATATATATATATATATATAGAATAAAAAATCCATCTAAATCAATATTATTGAATAGATCTGAAAAGATTAAAAAGCTTAATTATTAACATTATTCGTATTACAGTATACAAATAAATGTACAGTTTATTTAAATTGTAATAATTTTATTTAAAATACTTTCAGAAGAACGTTGATGGTAACTTATCAGATTCATATATGGGCAATTACAAAACGTGTAATGAAAGACGTTGGAGTTCAGTAAGCAACTCTTTTGATACGCATAAAATAAAATGTGAATACAACGACAGAATATCAAATATGAGATCAAAAAAATATGATGAATCGTCAAATAATGATTTTCGTCAAGAATATAATGATGTATTCATTAATGCCACTGTGGATTTATCAGACGATGGTGGCGAGCAGGACTTGCTTATGAATAAAAGTCATAAAAATGGTGAGCAATGGCATATAAATGTAAGCACAAGTTCAAGAAAATTGGATGCTACAGATGAAAGTGATAATATATGCTTGCTGACACCTGAAGAAAAGACTGATTCAGAAGAATTTACATTTTTTCCTAGTAGTGATATAATATCTTCATTAAGTGATCACTATGAAGAAGATTATGTCAGAATTCGTAAGAGTGAATATGAAGATATAAAGAATCGAGTTTCTGCGATTGAATCGCGTATTTCTCAAGAGTTTGGATGTATATACAACGAGAAGGATGATATCACTACACATTCGCTAAATAATATACAGACAGCGTATGAAAAAACATTGGAAGAGGCTAGTATCGAGAATACTCTAACAAGCGATTATCTAGCAAAAAGACTGAGTAAAGAATTAAAGATCAGAAGATCGGGAGAACATAAAATAATAAGATCGCCTAGTGCAAGAAAAATTGGATCATTAAGAAGACGTTCACAAGAAAAAGCTGCAAGGTAATTGAATTACATTTAAACTATGATATTTTTTTGTAATATATACAATTATTATATTTATGTATTTTAAAATTTTATTTTAAATAGTGCATAAATATTCTTTTAAAAATATATAATCTTCTATCATGTGTAGAATAAAATGTTCAAGTAGTATACAAAAGTAGTTAGTAAAACAAATATAAAATTATTGTTTTTATTATTTTAATATTTACAGCAAACGTATTAGAAGAACTGCATCATGGCATATATCTCCAGAATTCAACTTACAACATCACGTGCAACTCGAAAGACAAGTAAACGTTTGTCCCATCGAAAAACAATCGATTTATTCTAATAAATACTTGAAGGAGCACTCTCATTCTGCCGAAAAATGTAATGAAAATATTTCTAATAATATGAGAGATGAAATAGCCTGTTTACACAATCAAATTAACACATTGATTTCTCGTTCAAGCGAACGTAAAATTTCAAATAATAGTGACTTGGATCTTTCTGGATTTAAAGATCTGCATTTGAATAATAATCATACGACCACATCTGTACGTAGAGCGTCATCTTTTCATGGAAAAGATTTTGTAGATAACTCATCCTATTTCGATAAAAAGATCGATGAATTGAAAAAGGCAAATAGTCATCAGAATATTGCCTTAAACAATGATTGTTTACTAAGCGACAAGACTGTTTTCGAAGGCTCGAACAAAATATCTTGGAAAGATGCGGATAAATATTTTAAATCAGTGTCCCGAAGAAATACACCTGCTCCACAGACTGGCAGAGCATCCGTCGCTAAACTTCGAACACAAAATGCTGGTATGGTACTGGCCAAAGCGAGATTATTTGATGAAGGAACGAAAAGATCCGAATTTAAATCGAGTAATGTATCAAACAGAAAACATTGTCTCGACAATGTAAATAAACATTCTCCCAATGTAGCTAAAGAAATAAATACTGAATGTTTCAAGCAAACGTGCAACAGGACGCAAGTCTCTCGAAAAAAATCCAATAAGGATTCGAAAAATAAAAATCGTCACGCAGTGTCATCTCCAAATGCATTACCACGCATTAAAACACAAATAATAGATGCGTCATTAAAATCGTTTCAAAATGGATTGAACGAACATTATGTGCGAAAATTTGAACTGCAAGATCAGAAATGTTCGAATAAGGAACCAATTGTACATCAAACTTTCACCAAAGATAAAGGGATCAATGTCGCACACGACACAAAAATTCAGAAAGAAAACATCGCTGCAAAAGGATTGCCGTTGACGAAGATGCCTGTCAGTACAACGCTAGAAAATCCAAATATGTCTCCTTACAAATCAGATGTTAGCAAAACCCCACATATTAAGCGACCTTTAACGGTAAAAACGCCGAAAAGTTCTAAATTAGTGCGTAGACCTCCAGTTGACACACGTAGAACACCATTGAAAGCAACGGCACATCTAGGAACCCCAAAACGTCAAAGTCCTAAAAGTATCTTGAAAACACGAACTCTCAGTATGTATACGTAACAGAAAGCCTAACCATAAGTACTATATGTTGAATAGTTTTACATATACATATATATACGTTATTTTAAGAAGCTATAATTTTTATACAGTTTTTATATATATAAACAATATCTTTTGTGGTGTTTTTAATATATTTAATACTTATATTAGCAGAATATATATATAAGAAAGTTACTACAAATAGAAATAGGACATCGCAAGCAAAACTGATAGTCTATGCGTAAACGTTTAAAATCACTTTTTTTTTTAAGGCTAAAACATGAAATATTTGAAATATCTTTAAGGCTAGTCATTGCATATATCTGTGCTCTCATTTAAACATATAATCCTCATTCATTGTCATTCGATGACAAATTCAGGTTTACATGCAATATTCATATTGTTGTTCATTAAATAACATGTAATACAAATCAATACAAATCATCATAATTAATATTTGTCTTGTGAATATATCTATTACAAGGAGACTAATTATATGTCGTTATAATGTTTGTGTTAATTTTCTTTCTCGCTCGCATTTTTCTTTCAGAAGAACAACCCCACGTTTAAAAGAAAGCACCCGCTTTCTTTTAAATATTTGTGACATCACCTATCAGTGTTTTTATCTGCGAAAGCGAAAATCATCGTGATCCACGTGGTTCAACGATCACGACACGATCATTCGCGTAACCAATCACGTGGCACCGCTTGTCCTTTGCATGCTGTCACAACGCAATGGTTGACATTTCACATCTTACATAACGGGACGATTGTAATTAATAACGAACTGCGATATTTGCCTCGTTAAATGTTCCCGTTAAAAAGAAAACGCATTAAAAAAAGAGAGCGGAGTGCAGCCTCTGAAACATTTTTATACGCAAATAAATGATTCGAAGATTACCGCGGTTATGTATATCGTCACGATATCAGCGCCACATTAATACCAACTCTCAGCGTGGCGTTGTTTGTGTGCGCGCATACGTTTGTTCACATACAGTTTGTTGTACATACAGTTATCGAGGTGGTACAAGGATCGTCGGAAACGTGCGATCCGATCAAATTCTCCGTGCAATACGCAAGTGTCAGCGATTTATTCGCTCAGGAAACGCGGAAGGTGTTCGGGCTGTACGAGAAAGTGCCCGGCACGAAAATGAGAGAGGCTGGGATTATGCTGATAAGCACCGCGCTAACATGCGTCGTTATTGGCAATGCGTATTATCAAAGAAAACAATTCTATCCGACCGTCGTTCACATAACCAAATCTAATCCAAGCATGACCGTGAGTTGAGCTTTCCTTAAAGCATTTTTTTCAACATTCTCGATAAATCGCGTAACGAATGTGCGCTCTACTATCACATATGTATTTGTACTCAGGTAATCTACACGCAAGGATTTATTCTTGCGTTCATGATTAACGCCTTCCTGCGAAAGATCTTTTTCGGTACCTTACGCGCTGCCGAGCTCGAGGTAAGCGTCTCGTCCTTTCACATTTCCTCACGTCGTTGTCTTTCTTATAACATCTTGTTTGCAGCACCTAGTGGAAAAAGTCTGGTATGCTGTGACAGAGACATGCCTGGCGTTTACAGTGTTCAGGGATGATTTCAGTCCTAAGTTTATAGCATTATTTACCCTCCTCTTGTTCTTGAAGTCATTTCACTGGCTTGCAGAGGACCGTGTTGATTACGTGAGTCTTGTGTCATCAACAGTTAAAGTACAAGGATCTCTGTGATGTATCAAGCATACATTCATTTTTATTATACGTTAATGTTATTTTTGTAATTATATCTATGTAATTATATTCTATACAGTAATTACATTCTGTATAATCAATGAATTATCTTTTATCTTTCAGATGGAAAGAAGTCCGGTAATAACATGGTTGTTCCATCTTAGAGTCGCCACTTTACTAAATCTTTTGTTTGTCATCAATATAATGATGATCAATTATGCCTACGATACAACAGCCACTAAAGGTCCCTCCGTACAACTTGTGTTTGGCTTTGAATATGCAATTTTGTTAACTGTTCTTTTTAATATTACTGTAAAATATGTCTTGCATACTATTGATCTACAAAGTGAAACTCCTTGGGACAACAAACCAGTTTTCCTGTTGTATACAGAATTGATTATTGGCGTATTGAAAGTAATTATATTGTAAAAATCTTATTTTTATGTTAATTTATAATCTGCATATGTGTGTGCTTGTATTTTATCTAACAAACCAATATTTCCTTATAGGTTTTCCTCTATTTTGCCTTTGTGACCTTAATGATAAAGTTATTTACATTACCTTTATTTGCATTGCGTCCTATGTATTACACAATGCGAGACTTCAAGAAAGCACTTCACGATATTGTAATGTCTCGAAGAGCTATTAGGAATATGAATACTCTTTATCCAGATGCAACAACTGAAGAATTAGCTGCTGCTGATAATGTTTGCATTATATGTCGGTAAGTATTGCAATAAATAAAATTGTGTGAATAATAATAAACAATTTATTAAGACTGTATATGTGAATACACAAAAATTATGTGATTTTTTGTAACACTTGTAATGTAACCTGATACATTATGCTTGCAGAGAGGAAATGGTCACAGCTAGTAAAAAATTGCCGTGTAATCATATCTTCCATACTGCATGCTTACGTTCTTGGTTTCAACGTCAGCAAACATGTCCGACGTGTCGGTTGAACATTTTGAGGCCTACGCCAAACAACACAAGACCTAGACAACAAAATCCTCCTCAGCCTGGACCACAGGTGCCTCCGCAACCTCCACAAGCACCTGGTGTCAATCCTATCGGTATGACTTTGTATTATTTCTTGTACTTGAGTTTTATGTTCTATAAATATGTTATCTCCATATTTAATCTATTTCATTTTATTATTTAATATAGGACCACCCTTTCATTTCCCAGTATTTTGGGCTGGATTACCAGCTCCAGGTATGCCACCACAACAGCAACAGCAGCAACAACAACCACAACAACAACAGCCGCAACAGCAACAGCAGCAACCTCAAAATAATGCTGGAAGTACTCCGCCTCAAAATCCAATACCACCTACTGGAAATATTCCACTTTTTCCACCGCTATTTCCTACAATAGTACCATTGCCACCTATTCCTGTACCGCCACCGAATTTAATCGAATTGAGCGAAGAAGAGCTCAGAGCGATGGAAGGTAACCTGCGGCAAGCTGTTGAAGCCAGAATACAAACGCTGCAAAGAATTCAACTTTTATTAGATGCAGCCAATGCAATGATGAATCAATATCAAACAGCAGCTGCTACCGCTAAGTGAGTATAATATTCTATACAAATAATACGTATATATATATATATTCTATTATTTATTACATAAAACATCTATGGCTTAAAATTGCAGCATTCCTGTGAACAATAATTCTACAAGCAATACCGATAGTACCTCGGATACATCCACGATGCCAGGTCCAAGCGGTACAGCAAACACAAGTAATGGAATTAATAGCGATAATTCTGAAGTTAAAGTAGAAAACACTCCTACTCCGAGTACGTCAAAGGAAAACACTCCTACTCCAAGTATATCGAAGGAAGACACGTCAGCATGTAATGATACAGTAGACTTATCTAGGACTGAATCTTCAAGCGAACAAGAAATGCTGCGCAGACGTAGGTTACAAAAATTTTCATCTCCACCAACAGAATAAATAAAAATAAAATTGTGTGATAACTTATGTAACATAATAGTTTTTAACTTGGTTTATTATCGGCCTCAATTAACGCAAACGGTCAATAATTGAGGACTGTATAAAGCTAAAGTTTGGATTTTGTGATTCAGACGAGATAAGACGATATTCGATATTGTTTGGGGTTAAAAGGCAGTTAATGTTTTAAGCACTGATAAGGCTGTTTGTAAAAAAATCTCCAGCGATTATTAAATCCAGAATTTAGTGATAACCGAGACTGAAAGCTTGAGACTCAAATTGCAAACTGTTATACTACCAACAATCATAATCACATGAAAGAATGATTTTATAGGAATGACAATTTTTTGTCTTTCTTTTTGTAAATTATTATACAGAGTGCATATAAAATGTAAGAAATTAATTCCATTGACTTATTATACTTGATTATAATTTTCAGATTTATAAATGTGTTTACCTGTAAATAATTACAGATTTTCTTGCTATCTATATAATCTTTACAATTGTACGAGAGTATTTCTTATGAAACTATATGAAATCTTAAAATTAATTTCATGTTCTTTGCATAAACATGTATTTGAGTACCTTTATCCCTAAGCTTTAATATATGGAAATTTCTTATGTACATTTATAATTATATTGTCATGTAAATACGCCATATTTTTGTGTGTCTCATCCTTTCATAAAACCAAGACAACATACCGATATTGATTATCATGATGAACAGTACAATCATTTCTGATAAAATTAGCCAATGTATATAATTTATTTATCGACATATTTCTTTTTTTTAACAATATGGATAATGCACAAAAGTATATGTTTAGAGGTAATTGTTATAGAATTAAGACTTAACTAAAAGTGCAGAAAGAATATGTATAAAAGAGAAATGCAGGGACATAAACTTTAGCTCAATCTGTGAGTAAATTGTTTTATATTTCTCTTCTATTATTACATCAACATTATTATTAATACTATATTATTCCGGACTGGATATTTTTATTCAATTTTGGATACTAACTGTTTGAATTAAAAACTGACTTTGATTCCAGATAATTATTTAGAAAAGAAACACTATAATTGTGATATATTCATAATTAAACGTTTAAAATTTTGTTAAATAATCCTAATATTAAAAAAAAATGGAATTTCTACATAAAGTTTTTTTTCGAATACGATTATTTATAATCTGTTTAATCTATACGATTAGCTATTTTAATTTTATACAGTCGTAGATTGTATATCGTGTTTATTTTTTTTTTTATTAATAGCAATAAGCAAGTATTATAAAAAAAAATTTATCTTTAAGAAAAACATGTATTGTTAATTTTTAATAGATATTTTACGTATGTTATTTAACAATGGACACTGGTCAATCACAATGTGACATTCTTGCTAATGTCAATGTGATGTTTAATATGTTTGTGACAAGAGCTACCGATCTAATAATGAATACGCGGTTAAAATAATTTGAAGCAATGTACTCCACATGATATGGAAGAAAACTGACTGACATTAATGCATCCACTAAGTTTTATTGATCAATCGAAAAGATATTTATAACCTCATTTTAACATCTCGAAAATGCGCACACTCAGTTTCGTAAAGCGGAATATGTAACAATGTTAATATATAGGAGTAACTTTCTCGATAAACATTAATAACGTCTGATAATTTATCATAATTCACAACATTTGTAAATTCGTTGTGGTTTTATAAATTAATTTTCAGCGTGTCCTAATTATTTTTTTAATTGTTCTGTCGAATATAGCAACCGTATCTCTACGATTCTTACCGAGATGTCGCTTGTATTACATATGCACACAGTATCTTATATTTTTTTCAATAAAGTTATCGCTGCTTCTGTAAAGGAGCGAGAAAAGAGAAAAATGTGATATCCGAACGATTGCTGGTGTACCGAGCTACCAAGTTGTAAATTTTAGAGATATCGCGATGACGTAACGATGTCATCAGCGAGATCGGTCCACTTTTCAAGCCGTTATCGAATCGAATATTACTACAATGTGAAAGTCTAATTATCGCCTCGTTTTTAGTAAAGAAAATTATTATAATTTGATATTTCAAGAGAAAAATCCGTCAGGTTCGCTCTGGACGATTATTATGGGATATTAAATAAATACCAACATGCATATTATATTATTCTTCAGATATCATAAATGCGCCCGCGCAAACACACAGGCATTATAATTATTACTCTACATTAATATTTTCCGAGTCATATCACTTCGATTACTTCGAGAAGTCGCCCGGCCATCTTTGACCGTGACGTCAGAAATCGAAGAACCCGTCGGATTCTGGAGTCTGGAGAAAATGCATCCGCGCGGAGATGAAATCATCGCATCACGGCGACACGCGAGGCAATTGTTGCGCGCGTGCGAAGCGCATCTGAAAAAAAAAGTCTTGATTCATCGCGATGAAAAGACTGCAAAGTCGCAGAAGTCTGTAAACAAAACTCGTACGTTCACCGGCACTTGATCGCTTTACCGACCGCGTGATTCTCGAGGTCATCGCTGCCGTCGTCGTATACGATTTAGATACTGTGAGAAATGCGTCGATCTCTGGGCATCGAGATTCAAAGGTCAAGACAAAAGTCGCGGCGGAAACTCGAGGGCTTAATATTTTATTAAAAGAAAAAAAGAATAAAAAGAAACCGGACTTACAAGATCCGCGAGAGAAGAGAGAGAAAGAGAGAGAGATTTAAGAGTTGTTCAAAGAGTCCGTCGGCATTGTTCAAATCTCGCGCTATGCGTCCTTGCGTGTCACGCGGTGAACCCCGTGGCGCGTTGTTATGATCTATCATGGCGGAATGTAGTGTTGTGGCTGTTCAGTGTCTATATCAATTTTAGAGTGTGCAGCTCAGGGGAAAAGGGTGGGAGCGGCAATGCGAGCCGACGGCGACTGTCACAGGTATTCGCATGAGTTAATCGTGTTCCTGTGAGCGTCCGTATCGCGGGAGGGCTATCAGATAATACCACGGGGGTTCGCCGTTGCCGCTGCCGCCGTCGCTGCCTCCATCGCCGCCGCCGCCGCCGCTGTGGTCGCGGGAAGAGGAATTGTACACAGCGGAGTGGAAAGATTCACATGCGCAACGTTCACTAACCAAAAGTATCGGTATCCAAGCTGGAGAGTTGTCGTCGCGCCGGTCGGGACGACGAGTCTAAATTGTCGCGTACATCCCGATACGTCGTGGTCGCTGCGACACGTGAGAGTGTCGCGGACACGCGATCTTTTCCCGCGCGCGATCTGCCTGCTGGATCGAGCTCTCCTTCGAGGGATCGCGTCTACGGTCTGTCCGGTAAACGTCGCGTTGACGCGACTCGTGGACGCAGAGAAAAAAAGGCTTCGGGAGAAACTTCACTCTCCACGTTCATCCATGACAAGCATCTATTACTCGTGCTTCATCAAGTTCACCGTTTCAAGGAGCATGCATATGATCGTCGGCTGATCCGATTAGGAACCGACTAGTGTGTAGCTTGTGCTCATTATCCACCGCACGAGATTATTCACCTGGGAGTTGTAGATGCCAAACGTGGCTTTTCATGCAGTATCTTTCAGTAGAAAGAGAAACACTAACGCATTACCAAACATCTTATTTACGTCTTTATTATACGTATGATGCAATACCAATAAATCTTGAAGGGCATGCGGAAGTCTAACATATCTAGGTTTTTGCCCATACATTGTTCTAATAGGTATCTGAAAATTATTTCGTAGAGATAAGTGCGAGAAAGCCAAAGATTGAATTTAGAAAGGCATGCGGAAGAGTTGGTGATACAGACAGTGCACTAATTACAATATGACGGATACACGTAGAAGAGTAAAACTATATGCTCTTAATGCAGATAGGCAATGGGATGATCGTGGTACAGGTCATGTTTCATCTTCCTATGTAGAGAGATTAAAGGGAATTTCCTTGTTGGTAAGAGCGGAAAGCGATGGATCTCTTCTGCTTGAGAGTAAAATACAACCTGATACAGCATATCAGAAACAACAGGTATTAAAAGATTTTATGAATTTGCTTTTCTTATGATTCTCTTACAAGAGAGAGAGATCTATGACTTTTCAAGCATAATCAATATTGATAATTAAATATCACAGTACTATTTTTGGCGACCTTGTATATAAAATTTCCTAATCTAATTTGTGAAAACTAGATGAATAGATGAGTGTATATAATTTATTCAAAAATTTTGTTAATTAAATTTTTTTAATGTTGCATTTGTTCTAATTATAAAATATATTTTTGTATTATTAAAAAAATCAATATTTTTTATATTATACATATTAATGTATTAAATAAATTACAATTTATGCATGACAATGTGTGTGTATGTGTGCGTGCGTGTGTGTGTGTGTGTGTGTGTGTGTAACGTATAAGTAAATATATGTATGATTTTAGGATACTTTGATAGTATGGTCTGAAGGAGATAATTTCGACTTAGCCTTAAGTTTTCAAGAAAAAGCTGGCTGTGACGAAATATGGGAGAAGATTTGTCAGGTTCAAGGCAAAGATCCATCTGTAGAAATTACACAAGACATTGTGGAAGAATCTGAAGATGAGCGGTTTGATGATATGTCAGATGCAGCACCGCCTATCGAATTACCTCCCTGTGAACTTAGTCGATTGGAAGATATTAACGAGCTCATAGAAAATTGTTTAACGTCCCCAATGAGAAAAGAGAAATTAGCATTGGCACTAGAATCCGAAGGTTACATTAAGAAATTGCTAAATCTTTTTCATACTTGCGAGGATTTAGAAAATATTGAGGGTTTACATCATCTTTACGATATATTCAAAAATATTTTCTTACTCAATAAAAATGCATTGTTTGAAGTTATGTTCAGCGATGATACAATTTTCGATGTTGTTGGCTGCCTGGAGTACGAGCCAACGTTATCTCAGCCAAAGAAGCACAGAGACTATCTTAAAGAGTTAGCCAGATTTAAACAAGCAATTCCTATTACAAATACCGAACTATTAGCTAAAATCCATCAAACATACAGAGTTCAATACATTCAAGACGTAGTGCTGCCAACTCCGAGTGTATTTGAGGACAACATGCTGAGTACATTGAGTAGTTTTATATTCTTCAATAAAGTTGAAATAGTAACTTTGATACAGGAGGATGAAAAATTTCTTACTGAACTTTTTCGTCAGTTAACGGACGAAGCGACTTTAGATAGCAAAAGACGCGATTTAGTCCTTTTTTTAAAAGAATATTGCAACTTTTCGCAAAATCTTCAGCCACAAGGAAAAGAATCATTTTATAAAACATTAACAGCACTTGGTATACTCCCTGCTTTAGAAATTACTTTGGCAATGAACGATGCACAAACAAAAACAGCCAGTAT